CGGGGGTGGGGCGGGCCGGGCCTGGGCGCCATCTTGTCTGCAGCGGCCGCCGCCTCCCGCGCTGTAAGATGGCGGCGGCGGGGCGCCCGTCGCGGCCGGTGTTTACCGTGGTTCCTCGTCAGTGACGCTTCTGTGAGGAACTGTGCCGACAAAGACGGAAGGCGCGGCCCGGGTGTAAGGCGCTATCCCTTCACGTCCAGTCGCTTCTCGCAGGACTGAAGTGTCCCCTCGGTGTGGTCTGGGATCCCGAGGAAAGAAACGATAGAGTATTTGCAGGCGTGTGTGGTCGGGCATCTTGTGTGTGGAACGTCTGCGCCCCACTCGGGGCCGTTTGAGTGAGCGCGGAGACGGGGGGAGTCAAGTTAGGGCTTTTCGTTGGAAACATCGATGGAAGGACGATGGCGTCCCCCTCACCCGACGGTGTAAGAAGCCGGTGTGAGATGGCCCTGAGGAGACGCTGGGTGCAGGGCGTGCTGGGGAGTGGCGCCCAGCGACGGGATCGTGTCGTGTCGCTGGCTGAAGGCCTGGCCAGTTCGGTCGCTTTACCTCCTTTACAGGAGTTTTAGACAATAAATGATTCCGTCTCGAGAACAGGACGGTTGCGTGTGAGTCGGAGGCTAGTGTTGGGGGCCCGATCGGAGGGGAGAATCGCATCCTGTGAAGTTGGGTTAAGTTTCCGCCGCAGGAATCGATCCGCAGGGTCACGGCCAGAGCGGATTGCAGAGGGTTTTCCCAAACCGTGCCTGGCCGACGTGCGGCGCCCGGTAAAGCTGGGGGACTTGTGTTTTCCGCAGATGAGGCACTCGAAGAGAAGTTACGGTGCCGATTGGGACGAGAAGGACTGGGAGGCCGCCAAGTGGAGGAGCAGCAGCCGCAAGAGGGCGAGGCGGTCCCCCAGCAGCGCCCGCGAGAGCAAGCGCTGCCAGTACGACCCCGCGAAAACCTCGGACAGGTGAGGGGGGCGCGCGGACTGGGGGCGCCCCTCTTGTGTGCGGTGTGGCCTGTGCTGCTTGTGAAATTGTGTCTGTGTGTGTGTTGGTTGGTGGGAGAAAACAAAATCATAGAGTGTTTACTGTCTTAGATTTACTGAGAAGTTGAGGATACTCGGTATTAGCGTGAAGCATTGAGAAAGTGTGTTTTTGTTTTTCTAGTCACTATTTGGAAAGCCGGTCTCTAAATGAGAGAGATTATTATAGCCGGCGCTACGTTGATGAATATAGAAATGACTACAGTCAAGGGTGTGAGCCCGGGCATCGCCACAGGGACCATGAAGGCCGATACCAGAACCACAGCAGCAAGTCCTCTGGCCGGAGTGGACGGAGTAGCTATAAAAGCAAGCACCGGACTCACCACAGCACCACCCATCGCCGATCACACGCGGTAGGAGCGCTTTCAAAACGTTTGGAGATTTTATTTCCCCTTGGAGCAAGAAACTTTAATTTGTGTTTGACCATTTGAGAAAGTTCTGTTTAAGATGAAGTTATTTCAGTTTTAACTTGCAGGATCCTTCCTATTTGTGCATTGGATAGGAAATGCCCTAAGTACAGTATATGTTTAGTTACTTAATAGGTTTTGTTATTAGTTGGCAACTGTCATTTCCATGAAATAGTGGAGGGGATTTAATTTAGGTTAGTTTATTGCAATGATCCAGTTTAGTCTGACAGATTTTTTATGGTACTTCAAGAAATCTGATTTTTGATAAATTGAAGCCTTACCACAAAAGTAGACTAGGCCTTTTATATTTGTATGATGAGGATTAGATGTAACTTTGTTCTAGCAACACATTCGCTCTAATTTTCTTTTTCACTAAGCCCACCATTTAACAGATTTGAACATTATGAAATGTGTATTAATTTGGAGATCAGCTCAGATGGTGTTTAAAGTGTCATGGTGTTAATCTTGTATACCAAAAAAAATTTTTTCTTCCCCAAATTAGGACTTCAGTTTTATTTGCTATCTTAATATTTTGTTTTCTTAGATTAGTTAGGAAATCTTAATTTGGCCACAGTCTACTTTGACAAGTAAATATTACATCCTATGATTTTGCAACAGTAAATCGGGACACTAGAAACTTAAAATTATGTTTCAGTGAATGCTACAACTAAGCATTTTTTAAAACAATTGTGTTATGTTTTGTTGCCTTGCCACTTTGAGTATCTTATCTGAAAATCTGTTCCTTGCCATGTTTTTCTCCTGTTAACATAAACTATGTGCCCTGTGAATTTCTGGGGACTGAATTTGAAATTGCTCCTGCCAACCGTTTGTGGCCTGGCGTGTATCTGAATGCCTGAATATCTCCCCGCTGAATGAATTTCGTATTCTGCCCTGAATTCACTCGGGTATATTGATTGGCTGGATGATCTTGGTGCCGCCCACTTGACGTTTCCAGAAGAGTCACCGAAGGAAAAGATCCAGGAGTGTAGAGGATGATGAGGAGGGTCACCTGATCTGTCAGAGTGGAGACGTACTAAGTGCAAGATGTATAGAATATTTTTCAACACTTATTAACTTTTCAGATAACATATCTATATATAGATTAAGATTTCAGGGATTTGGAAATCTTTTCTCTCTTTCTGTTTTTTTTTGTTTTGTTTGTTTTTTTCCATTTCTTTTGGTGGTGGGAGGGAATTGTATTTTTGCTTTCTTTAGAAATTTAATGTTTGTTATGTAGAACTTCCAAAACAGTAAATCAAGTTAAATGAAATTAGCTTTAAGACTGAAATTAGACATAAAAATAGTTACATGTTTTTTGACAGTGTTGACCAATAAAATAGTGATAAGGGAATTTAGCATCAACTAGAATAATCTGCATTTATAGCATTATGATAAGCAAAATGTTTTCACTTCTTGATGTGACTGAGATTTATTTTTCTCTTTTAGATGAAATTGTTGATACTTTAGGTGAAGGAGCTTTTGGAAAAGTCGTGGAGTGCATTGATCATAAAGTGTAAGTTTCCTATCCTGTCATTGTACTTGCAGTGATCGGTATAGAAAATATATTTAGCCTTGGGCAGTGTTGATCAGTTGGCTGAGCTTCGGCCCATGTACCAAGAGGTCACAGATTCAATTCCCAGTCAGGGCACATGCCCAGGTTTTGGGCTTGATCCCCAGTAGGGGGGCATGCAGGATGCAGCTGGTTGAAATCTCTACTCAAAAGAAGAAAAAAATCAACATATATTTTTGAAGAAAACATATATAGCTTTAGAATGTGGTCTGACCATGAGTTAAGATACATCTTTACCCTTTACCTTGGGTTTTTTACTTGTCTGTGGGAAACTCCCAGTAAAAGATACCAGCTGTTTTTATTCTTATATATCTTTTTATTTATTTTTAAAATATATATTTGTTGATTTCAGAGAGGAAGGGGGAAAGAGGTAGAAACATCAGTGATGAGAGAGTCATCGATCGGCTGCCTCCTGTACGTCCCCTACTGTGATCAAGCCCACAACCCAGGCATGTGCCCTTGACCAGAATCAAACCCGGGACTCTTCAGTCCGCAGGTTGACGCTCTTATCCACTGAGCCAAACCAGCTAGAGCTGTTTTTATTTTTAAGTAGTAGTAATTAATAGTATATGCAGCCTCTAATTTCAGTTTTAAGCTGAGAACAGATTTTATTTAAGGAAAATAGTATTTTCTTATCTCACGAGGCCCAACTGTGGCCATCTCTTTTTTAAAGGTCATTCTAGTTGCTTACTTTAAGTTGCAATTAAAAGATAATACATACAATCAAAGTATAAGTGTGTACAGTTTGAAGAGAGTGATAGAAAAATGCATTAAAATACCTTGATTATTTTTATTTATAACTTGGATTTTTCTCTAACAGGGGAGGTAGACATGTAGCAGTAAAAATAGTTAAAAATGTGGATAGATACTGTGAAGCTGCCCGCTCAGAAATACAAGTGCTGGAACACTTAAATACAACAGACCCCAATAGTACATTGTAAGTATCAAAATAGAACTTAGAAAATGGCTCTAGGTAGATTTTAAGACGATTATAAGAAGCTGTACTAAGTTATTTTTCATGTGTTTGTAGCCGCTGTGTCCAGATGTTGGAATGGTTTGAGCATCGTGGTCACATTTGCATTGTATTTGAATTACTAGGACTTAGTACTTATGATTTTATTAAGGAGAATGGTTTTCTGCCATTTCGACTGGATCATATCAGGAAGATGGCATATCAGATATGCAAGTCTGTGAATTGTAAGTACTTTTTATGAAGTGTTAGCTGTTGGTGTGCTAATTTTTTAAGGAGGGTAGTGGGTTTCAGTCCTGGGTGGTTGTCTAGCGGACTAATTGAATGTTGGCCACTTCTTCAGGCTTGTGGCAAAGACATCAGAGTTTTGTTTTTTGTTGGTAGAGACTTTGGGTTTTGATTTGTAGAGTACAGCTACTCTTTATGTTTCATTCTCAGTTCTGCACAGTAATAAGTTGACTCATACCGACTTAAAGCCTGAAAACATTTTATTTGTGCAGTCTGACTACACAGAGGCATATAATCCCAAAATGGTAAGTCTTTCATGTATTAACTTCATAGTTCTAAATGAATGTTTAATGCTTTCTTAATATTAATACCTTCTTAACCATCATTTATGGTTTTTAGAAACGTGATGAACGTACCTTAATAAATCCAGATATTAAAGTTGTGGACTTTGGAAGTGCAACATATGATGATGAACATCACAGTACATTGGTATCTACCAGACACTATAGGGCTCCTGAAGTTATTTTAGGTAAGTATTGTATTGTGCTTTGAGAACCTTTGTCTTACTGAAGCTGGTTTTAAATTTTACTTATAGTTTGAAAACATAATCATTTAATTCCTGTTATGTCCCAGATACTTAGCATGTGCAGTCTTTATATGGCATAGTGTGCCCATTTTACAGGTTAAGAAATTGAGGCTCAGGGAAAAAAAATTCCCCCCTCTCTCCAATCACTAGCCTCAAGAGCCTGACTTAAGGCTTGAAACTAGTATCTCCAGAATCCTAACTCTTACATACTATCCTATTATATTTAATCTTGGACTAAGTGATTGCTTTAGGATCTTTTCTATCTCAAACATCAACTTATGCACATTTAAAAAAATGTTTTTAAGAAACATTGAGGATTTTTCCCCCTGACAGCTTGCTTTATCTTACAGCCTTAGGATGGTCCCAACCATGTGATGTCTGGAGTATAGGATGTATTCTTATTGAATATTACCTTGGCTTTACAGTGTTTCCAGTAAGTGCTTTCTTTGTATAAGTGCCTGTTTATATGAATGAACACTAAGTCATACATATATTTCCGTAGCTGTACCCCCCTCCCCATCATAGACTATTAGTTGTAGATAAATATAAAGAAATAAAAATTACGGTATTGTGATTCTGTTGGGCATTTCATAATTTATGATTTTATTTAAAATATTTTTTAATCTATTAAATAAACTTGCTGAATTAGGGGAATCTTTGGTGATCTGTAAGGCTTATGTTTTTTTTTTTTTAGCTGTAACTTGCTACAAGTAGGCCTTTTTTTCAGTGATCACATCCTTCCTTGTGTCTAAACCATGTAGGGACTAGAAATATAGCAGCTATGTTAAATGAGAACGAAGCATAATATGCAAGTTCAGATAGTTAACAAGTTTTCTTTATTATTTTAGACACATGATAGTAAGGAGCACCTAGCAATGATGGAAAGGATTCTTGGACCTTTACCAAAACATATGATACAGAAAACCAGGTATGTTTTGAGAATAGGTGCCTTCTGTCCTGATTAGAACTATAAAACAGTAATGCTTTTTCACTTAAGTAGCTGATGATTATTTTGCGGGAAGCCAGTAACAATCTCACTAGGCTGTCTTTTGAAATCTGTGGAAAATACTAGTCTGATCTATAAACATAATAAATGATTAAACCAATCACTATTAGTAGATGTTTAAATTTTCATTGTCAACATAAACATGGATATTGACTTACTCTTAGGAAACGTAAATATTTCCATCATGATCGATTGGACTGGGATGAACACAGTTCTGCTGGCAGATATGTTTCAAGGCGTTGCAAACCTCTAAAGGTAAGCCTGGGTCATTGCTTAAATGATCCTTGAGTTTTCCCTTTTTATGGTGGAGAAATAAAGTACAAGTGGTAGAAGAAAAAGCTGTTGACTGTTTCTTTTCCTTTCAGGAATTTATGCTTTCTCAGGATGCTGAACATGAGCTTCTCTTTGACCTCATTCAGAAAATGTTGGAGTATGAGCCATCTAAAAGGATTACTCTCAAAGAAGCCTTAAAACATCCTTTCTTCCATCCCTTAAAAAAAACTACATAGATCTCTAATTGTACAGCGAAAGAGGAGATTTTATAGACTGTATCAGTCTAATTAAGTTATTTTGTACAGCTTTTGTAAATTTCTTAAACTTTTATATTGCCTTGTTTATTTTGTTTGGATAGTTTGATTTGTTAAGTCCATAGCTAATTAATGAACATCTTTTACAATGATTTCTGTATAAAATGATCTATTCAGAATAAATTTTTTTGTGTTTATGAAGTTTATATGAATCTGGACAATTTGGTTTTTAGCACCATTTTTTTGTTGTCACTTTAAAGAATGGACATGTTTCTTCTATTAGGAGGTTTCCTTCAGTTTTGGAAATATTCAGCTTTGTTTTTATTTTAGTGAATGCCAGCATTGGGACTTACACCTTTTCTAAATCAAATTACATGGGGTGTTGAACACATACAATATAGATGCTGTATTATAGAATTATATAATTTTCTTAACCAAGGTCATCCCCATAAGTTCAATAAAAAACTAAAAATAATTACAGGATATAAAGATCTAAAGATAAATCAAGAAGAATTTGTTCTCCCTTATATTCCTGTTCAGATTTAATATTGCTGCTTTCCTGTCTCCCCCTGAATGGGATTTTGCAAATGGTTTAAGGTCATGTGCTCCTCAGGACATAACAGAAGTTACAGCCAAGTCTGAATTATCAAATCACTATAGTAAGATTTTTGTCAATGATCACCATCCATCACCAGAGGGTTTATTTGCTGTAATAGATGAGCCTATGTTGACATAATCACCCAAAGCCTACCTTCTGGCTTATTTTTGCTGTTATTCCATTATATTTGTTTAGATAGTTCTGCTCGAAGATAGGTTTCAAGGCAATGTAATGTGTGATGATGCATTCGTCATAGAACACAGTATGTTCACTGCTGTAAAAATACGCTGTTCCTCCCTCCAGCCCTCAACTTACAATAACTAATCTTTTTTACTGTTGTCTAGTTTTTCCTTTTCCAAAATACCATGAAGTTGGAATCACAAAGTATATAGCCTTTTCAGATGGGCTTTCACTTAAAACGTTTTTCAACCAGTGTGTATGTGGCAAGAATTTTTAAACATGCAATACCTGCCTGGCTGTTGTGCCTCTGCTTGAGCTTTGACTTTTGAACCAGGAGATCACAGTTGAATTCCCAGTCACATGCCCAGGTTGTAGGCTCGATCCCCAGTAAGAGGGGTAGGTGTGCAGAGAAAGTAGCCAATCAGTGATACTCATCAATGAAATAGCTATACAGCTGCCAAAACCGGTTTGGCTCAGTGTATAGAGTGTCAGCCTGCGGACTGAAGGGTCCCAGGTTCGATTCCGGTCAAGGGCATGTACCTTGGTTGCGGGCATATCCCCAGTAGGAGATGTGCAGGAGGCAGCTGATCAATGTATCTCATCGATGTTTCTAACTCTCCCTTCCTCTCTGTAAAAAATAATAAAATATATTTTTAAAAAATAGCTATACAGCTATGAAGAGTTGAACTTGAAATGCCCATTTAAATCAGCAATTTTCAGCCCTTTTCATCTCATGGCACATAGAAACTTTAGAGGTCTGGTGCACAGATTTGTGCACTGGGGGGTGGAGGTGGGGGGGCATGGCCTGCAGGGATCACCAGCTATGGGAGCCCCACTTATCCTGCTTAGCCAAGTGGCCATGGACCCACCCTCTGAGTAGCTGCTGAATGAGGAAATTAGTCTGAGCTGATGTTTTGGGGTAATGTCTTGGATAAAGTCACGTTCTGTGTCCTGGGGGAACCTGGTGGAGAGCTTTGCACCCCAAAGCCACTCGGTGAATGTCCTCGATGGTGTGATGCCAGGTCGGTGACACCATCGGGGTTGTTTAGGGCAGCTGTGCTCCAGGATCCTCAGCCAGCAGGACAGAGTCCACAGTTGTGTCCCCTCTTGCCATTCACCTATGCCAGCTCCCTGCGCTCTTTCTAGAACGCACCTTCGAGGGCCTGCATCAGCTTGTGGGGTCAGGCCAGAGTCTGGATTGTCTCAGGTATTTGATAGGTGCAGAGACTTGGCCTCACCCTGGGCCTGCTAGTGGCTGCTCCCACTATGGGAGTGCACAGTGGGACCACCAGGGAGCAACTCCTGCATTGAGCGTCTGCCCCCTGGTGGTCAGTGCACATCATAGTGACTGGTCCGTGATTCTGGTGGTTCCACCCTTCAGTTGCTGGGCTTTTATACATGTACTAGGGGCCCAGTGCACAAAATTCGTGCACTACAGGGGGCTCCCTCAGCCCAGCCTGCCCCTTCACATACTGGGAGCCCTCAGGTGATGTCCTACTGATGGCTTAGGCCCGCTCCCTGCTCCCCTTGGGGAACGGGCCTAAGCCTCAGTCTGGCCTCCCTTTGTGGGAGGCAACCAGGCTGATCAGAGGAAGGCACCAGCCCCATCACTCCGCTGCTGCAGCCACTGCCAGTCACTGCAGCCACCATGGACTCATCCCTTCACCATGAAAAAATGACAACATTCTTTAGGTATTTTCAAGATGTGTCTTTCATACGA